CGCTACAATAGTGAACCTCATATGCTCAAAGTGAAGAATACTTTTAACGGGAAGACTACTTTTTATTGGAACCAGTCACGCGTGTTTATTTTTTTATCACAATTGCATAAATAAATACTATGTATAATTTATTTTCACATGCAGATGCACTTTAAAATTGTACATTGCAATTATTCTATATACCGACAAACTTTTATCAGCATGTTTCTATTAAAATTTCTTCATAATTACGATAACGCCACCACATTTGGGACTTATATGTATATATGTAATCTAAATGTATATATCAGCTATGAGAACACCGAATATCACACAGGCATGCTAGAAGATTTTCAATTATACCACTCATCTCCAAGGAAAATAAAATTACAAGAGGACAAACCTATATACTGATTATACTTTTTAGAAATATAAATGGAGAGTTAGAGACTGAAAATTTTGTCACCTTGTTCCCAGCATATCTTTGTTGGATTGCTTTGATTTTTGGTTGGAGATTTTGCATTTCCAGAGTTGATTCAACCTTTCACAGACGACAAACATAATTGAATGAATTATTCTAAAGTTAGTGCAGACCTTCACTTGACACTAATATTAAAAAAACAGTCTAGGACTATATGTTGAATTGTGGACGAGAAAAGTAGATGTTCCTTAAAATACATCACCTTCAAGGTGAAATTTGAACTAAATACCATGAACAGAGAAAGCACACCTGTTTCTTTGTCAATGGAAGTGTAGCAGCTTTTACAATAACCGTAAGCAATATAATGGCAAATCCATAAGAATATGGAACATGTACAGCTTCAAGTCCGTTCTTTAGTACCTAATAAGAGTAACGCAAGTGTATCATCATTCTGTCACATTTTCAGTGATATCAACTCTTGTTTAGGCACATAAGATTGAGAGAGAGAGAGCATTTAGTACTTAATACACATCTTGAGACTGTTGGATTTCTCAACACAACTCAGCTTGATTTGCTAGTAGCTGACTAACTATTTCAAGGTTTGCCATGAAGACGAGTAGCTCTTAATGTGAAACTCTCAAGTCTCATTTATATGCAAATTAAATTTACTTATTTCTGAAATACCGTATCAATTTATGCAGGCTAGATAATGTTTCTGAAATACCGCATCAATTTCCATTCTTGGATTAAGATTCTGAGCCTTGCCTAGTTATATACTTATATGTGTCCCCAAATTTGTTGAACCGCAAATGGTACTATTGGTGAATTATTGTTCCATAACTAGTATAGTAGCAGAAGCAATATCTCAGACTCAAACTGGGAGTCTGGGATGGACAGACATAATAAAATTTAAAATGGGATAAGCATAAAACAGAGAGATTATTTGTGTGGAGGATAAGAGGATTGATCTATTTTCTTCTTATTTATCCTTAATCTTATTTATCTTTATCATTTTATCTTTTCTTATCCTTTACTATGTTTTTTTAATCCTCTTTACTCTATCTTATCTTTATTATATCCTTTTTATCTTATCATTTTAGGTCCTATGTCTATTCATGTTAGCTGACCTCAAAACGTCTTGGATGTTGTTGTATTGGCATAAAACAGACTTAACAGTTACATGGTCTTTCCTCAGTTTCAATTCATGGACAGCAAAATCAAATGCAAATTCTGATTGTAATTAATCATAGGCTATAAAGGTATTGCAATTGCTAATTAAAAAAAATTGTATTCATTTAAATTGATAAGTTACCTTCAGCACAAACTCCATGGAATCCGAAACGAATCCGAACCAACCGTTATTTTTCTGAGGAACTGCAGCTGAAGCATCAGAAGCAGAGCCGCCTATGGCAGCGTCAGTAGCAACGGCGGCATCAGCAATTGTATACAGAAAGCTCTCAGCTCGAGTAAAAATAGCTCCAAAATCGACAGAAGAGTGGAGGGCTTGAATAGGCGAGAGCTCATGGAAGCTGAGTTTCACTCGGGTGGAGAGAAGTCGACTATGCGGAAAGCTTCCATGGTGGGGGGAGGACGGAAAAGGTGTACCAAGAAACGACTGCGATGAAATAAACGTTTTTGCCATGGATTCTGGCTAGGGAGTTGAAAGTTCAGATCAACATGAGCCAGTGGAGGTTCTGATAATGCCAGTGAGCCACATAGCCACATCCCATAACGTCCCATGATCTCATCCGGATTTTCCGCTGTAAAATAAAAACTAATAATCCAACTGTTTAACCGTTTTCTTATCGTTCCTGGACCAGTTAATGACTTGTTATTCCAAATTATTTTCTCATCTTTGCAAAATATTATCTTTCTGAAGTGAGATTTATGGTATAATGATTTGCAAAGATTAGAAAATAACTTGGAATAACAGGTTATCAATCGGTTAGGAACCATTGAACCGGTGAATGAAGATAGGGTCCAAATGTTAGATTATTCATGAATAATGAAAATGTGGGACTATTGTAAGAAGACCGCTAAAAGGTTGTATTATTACCTTTCATTTTCCCTTAGATTTGTAGCACTTCTCATTTTTAAGTACTCTATCTCCTAATCTCCCACTTAAATTTTCCACGCTATTTATTGTTTTGACTGACCGAGTTAACTAATCCATGTTATTAATAAGATTATTTTTAGTAAAAATTTTATTATATTCGATCAAGAAAGTTAAATTTGATAAAAAAAAATGAATATATAAAGTAAAAGATTAAGAACAATTCACGTTAATCGGAGAATAATGGACATGAACTTTTAAATGAGAAGGGGAGAGTATTTGTTACGTTGTTACACTATTCTCAAACCAAAGCCAATAAATTAATTTATCTACTCAATAATCTTTACTTTCACTAATTCTATAATACTCCCCAGTCCCGCTAAGATTGTCGCATTTTATTTTTTCAGTGCTTCCCACTAAAATTGTCGCGTTTCAAATTAATGTGTGTGGTTCGAAATGATTCTTACTTGATTATTACTTTATTAAATTTAATGTCAATCGGATAATCACATAAATCACTTTTTATTGATTTTTGTGTCACCCCTTTTGTCTCATAATTAACGGGACGGAGAGGATACCAAATATTTTCCTTTTGAAATATTCTAAAAATAATTTCTAACTTATGATGATTCATCTATCATGACTTGCGGTTATCAGCCCTAGCGCCGCAACTCTCTCCTTCTCCTTAGCGACTTTCGTTTCGGCTTTAGTTTCCTCCGGCCGACGTTATGTTACGTTCGTTGCTCGGTGGCTGTTTTGTACCGGTTGGAGTTGGTAAGGAAGAATCATGGAGATCGACATCTCTCACTCGAAATGAAACGTGGTCGATTTTGTGGGATCGACGTTTATCTATGTTATTTGATGTGTAGGTAATTGAAATGTTTGAGTTAAGTGGCTGGCTGGTCAAACATGGTTCCTGGTTTGAGGTTAGTCGCAAAGACATGGTACGTCCCCATCCTGAATCGCCGCCTCGGAGTGGCCGCGTGACTAGGGTTTGGAAGATGACACTTCAAAGTCCGCCTGAGATTCTAGAAAGTCTTCTCTCCAAGAAGGAAAGATCAAGCTTCCCGTAATTCTAGGGAATCAACTTACCTCTACTAGTTTTGTCTTTCTTTTAGTTTTTTGTGCTGGTATTGTTTGTTGGTTGTGTTTTTATTTTACTTTTGTCAGACCCTGGAGTTTGGATTCATGATGGAAGTATATTTTGATCGTCTTTGGCTAAATTATGTCCATTATAACTGAGTCTGATTCGAGAGCTGATAGTTGAGAGAAGACTTTTTATCATTTTGTTACTTGCCATAGTTCTAATTATTTAATACTCAAGTATCAGTCACTTTCTTTATGATAAGAAAAACTTACTTCAGTTACTTGTTTACTAGTACAAGGAGGAATGTTCAGGTCCGAACATTCCCCGTCGAGCACCGTCCGAACATGGACGTTTGGACCACTTCCTGGTGGAATTTTTTCATGAAATTTTTTGAGCATGTTCCTAATCAAATCTAGTTTGTACATACCAAATTTCAGATCAAAATGCGATAGGGAAAGCATTCAAATCATTTTTTGAAGTTGATTGCGTCAAAATATACATATAAAAACGCAGTCAACTTCAAAAAATGATTTGAATGTCTTCCCGATCGAATTTTGAGCTGAAATTTGGTATGAACAAACTAGAATTGATGAGGAACATGCTCAAAAAATTTCATAAAAAAATACCACTGGGAAGTGGTCCAAACGTCCATGCTCGGACAGAGGCTCCTGTCCGAACGTTCGGACCTGATCATTCTTGCTAGTACAAGTAATAATCAAGTATTATTTATTACTCCCTCCGTCCCAGGGAGAAGTTCCCACTTTCCCTTTTTGGTAGTCCCAACAAAAAGTTCCCATTTCCCTAAATGGAAAGTTATCCTACATCAAAACAGTGTCAAACAGTGCCAAACAGTGTCGAAACAGTGCCAAACAGTGTCGAAACAGTGCCAAACAGTAAAGTTTACCCCTCAATAACTTTATTTCCTAAATATGTGTGAAAGTCAACCCGGGAACTTCTCCCTGGGACGGAGGGAGTATATATTAGAGAAATCATCATGTCAGGCCGGCCTGACGGGCTGCCCCGTCCGGCCGAGCCCGTTTGGGCACCTTCCCGGTGGAATTTTTTGATGAAATTTTTTGAGCATGTTCCTCATCAAGTCTAGTTTGTCCATACCAAATTTCAGCTCAAAATTAGATCGGGAAGGTCGTCAAATGATTTTTGCAAGTTAACTGGTCCGGAATATGTATATTCCATCGAGAAGGTCGTCAAATCTATGTATATTCCGGACCAGTTAACTTGCAAAAATCATTTGACGACCTTCCCGATCGAATTTTGATCTGAAATTTGGTATGGACAAACTAGACTTGATGAGGAACATGCTCAAAAAATTTCATCAAAAAATTCCACCGGGAAGGTGCCCAAACGGGCTCGACCGGACGGGGCAGCCCGTCAGGCCGGCCTGATGAGAAGAGCTCTCGCATATATTATATTCCGTATGAAATTCGGAGTATAAAATTTTCGTTAGTCAATGGCCTTTTTCCGTTTAAAAACACGCTACTGTTCTTCTTAGCGCTGTTTTAAAGCGTAAAAAACCTCTACTAATGGCCTTTCGTTAGTCAATCGCTGTTCTTCTAATCTTCCGTACCCAGCTTTCACCGTTCTCCCCTCATCTTCTTTGCGCGTCTCCGCTCACGAAATATCCAGGCCGGTCGAACCCTTCTCCCATCTCTGTTCACGGATCGTTCTCTTCTATTTTCGTCAATTTCATCCGCTGCTACGATTATCCAAGTACCTACAGGTTGGGATTGTTTTTTGCAGAAAATCTCCTCACGGGTTATAGTGTGAATCGGTGCTCCATATACTTCGAGCAGTTCCATCTCAACGATTTCTTCATCACTGGTATGTTTTCTATTCCTGAAAGCCTTTCTTAAGATTAGGTCTAAATGTAATTCTACATTTTTGGAGCATAATATTTGTATTTATCCCCAAATTTTCTTGTTACGGAAATATTCTTTAAATAACACCCCTTGTTACGGGAATCAGAGAGGTTATGAGATGGGAGGATGAATATCGATGTTTACTAGTTTAGTGTGAAATGATGGATAATAAAATGTATAGTTTTGAGCACAAACTCATCACTTTTGTATATAGTTTAGTTCTGATTTTTGTGTGTATATAGTTCTGAATTTTTTGTTTAGAGTTATATTTTTACTGGTATATAGTTTTACTGAATTGTGTATATAGTTTTTACTGAGTTGTGTATATAGTTTTTACTGAATTCTGTATATAGTTTTTTTCTGAATTGTGTATATAGGTTAACTGGATATATATTTTACTGAATTGTGTATCTAGTTTTTACTGGTTTCATTTTTCTTTCTTTTTGAGTTTTTTTTTTTTAAATTTTACTGGTTTTCTTTTTGATTCGACTGGTCTCTACAGGTGGAATTCTATTTCCTAATTTTTTAAAACTATAACAATCTCAATACTAACTTCGAAATAAGATATTTGTTTCTTTTTATTGATATGAGTATATGACAAATGAGTAATAATATTTAATCCTAAATTCGTTTCTTTATTTTTAATTAGATATACTTTGAATGTTAATGTTTTATGCTCCACAAATTCAACAAATGTAGTCAATTCATTCATTTCCGCTCCACTTTTAGCATATCCACCAAATAATGCCAATTTTATTGCCAGTAATTTTAACAAGTCCAGCCAATTCAATTCAACCCAAATTATCTTTATTATAGTTCTGTTTCAAAAAACTAAAAAAGTGCTTTTCAACTTTTGGTTTAAAAAAAGTTGAAAATAGTGTTTTCAATTTCCAAATGGCAATTTCTACTTAAATTAAACACTTAAAAGCTAAAAGCTGAAAGCATGTAAATGACAAGTTCAACTTTTGCTTTACATTTTTTTTCACTTTTTATTATTATACAATAACATTTTTTCATCAAACATTACAAACCCTCCCTACACTACCTTAGATCATACTCACTATGTCCGTTGTAACTTGAGGAGTCAATGAACCAAGAAACCTACAGCCCCCTTAATTTTGATGAGCCTATCTGATAATACCAAATTATTTCAACATATTCTACTTCTTATATAGTGTGTGTTGAGTTTTAGTATTATTGCTAACCTTGTGAGTCATTTCATTCTACAAACAAAACAATTGTTTCATCAAAATTAAGGTATATGGAAATTATGTTTTAAAAGAAACACTATCAAAAGTAATGTGTAATATATTTGTTTACTATTTTCATTAACAATTTCAAGTTATAAAAGGATCAACTTTAATTTCAGAATTTATTTTACCCATATTTGCATTTCAGTTCTTGATGCATAAGATTAAAAGGACCGCTAAGCTTGTGCTATGTGCCAGCATACTCTGTCTATATATATTACTCCCTCCGTCCCGTAAAGAAGTTCCCGCTTTCCTTTTTAGCAGTCCCCAAAAGAAGTTCCCCTTTCCCTAAATGGAAAGTTATCCTACATCAAAACAGTGCAAAACAGTGTCGAAACAGTAAAATTTACCCCCTGGTAAGTTTATTTCCTTAATATGTGTGTAGGTCAAACCGGGAACTTCTTTGCGGGACGGAGGGGGTATATGATAAAAAATATATTTAGATGTAACCATAGTTGTCATGGTGCATGACGACATCCATGGCGCACAAGCCATTTCCCATGGCGATGGCGCAAATATGGTGTCGCCACGTGACAAAAAAAAACTTCAAAACGAATGATAGACACTATAATTCATCAACCCAACCACCAAAACATGCTAAAAAAGTTGAATAACAACATTCTAACCAAAACATGTGAAAAGGGAAACAAAATATGTTGGGATTTAGGCTTGTTAGCTTGTTTTTGTTTGATGTTCATGGCATGATCATCATCAATCATTGCACTCCTCATCATCTTGGTCTGAATCTATGTGAAGTTCTTAATATGCATGTCCAACTCAAACAACTATGTTCCAAGATAGTATTATACTGCAGATAGTACAATTGCAAAGTGCAAACCGTAAACCACTTCACTTCCTACACTCACAGTGCATCACAAATGCATGTTCCACGTCAATTCCACATGACACAGCCAATGGTGCAAAATCCAGGCTGGTTATGTACCTGATACGCGCACTTTGAAAATTTTGTAAAAATTGACATTTGTTGTTTTAGCTGGATAATAACTGAGAAGGCATCAACAAATTACTCAAACTTTTTCATACATATTTAATGAAAGAATGCCCAAGTGAAGATGTCTTGCATACCAAATAATCCCCAACTAGATATAGAAGAAAAATACATGCTTTGTGTTTTTGGCGCTCATCTTTTTTGTCGCAGACTCGCAGGTTTAACTTCTAGTGTCCGCAGGCTTTGTGTGTTTATTTACTTTTGTTAGGGTTGTTATTGGTATAATGGGTTAAAATATTAAGTTTTATTAAGGTTAGCATCAATGTTCTAAAAGGTGCTAGGCGCTAGTCGGGCGCCAGCCCAGCGCCTAACGCCTAGGCAGCTAGGCAGGCGCCTAGGCGTGGACTAGTCAGAGACACATAAATTATATTTTTATCAATATTTTTGCATATATATAATAAATAATACATAGTAAAACCGTAATATTGTGTGTGTACGAAAAATATATACACACATTAACATGCATGAATGATAGAATTGTCACATGAAATAATGTATGATAACTAATCACTTAATTACATTATGTTATAAATATTAAATAATACGGAGTAATAAAATTTAAGTATATATACAAACATATATAGTTTTATCTTATTTTATAAGTATCTTTCTTCATAAGCGTGATTAAACTTAAAGGCACATGTATCTCTTACAAAAAGAAAATTAAAAATAAAAAATTGTTTGACGAATCTAGACGCCCTAGGTGAAGATTAGGCGCTTTGGGCGGGCAATTAGGTGCCTTAGGCGGCAGACTAATTCACCTAGGCGTCAAACCAATTAGTCGGAGCGCCTAGGCAAAAATCAGGGCGCCCGGCCACCGCCTTGCGCCTAGGCGGGGACTAGTCGGGCGTCTAGAGCGATTTTTAGAACAGAGGTAGCGTCTAGATTCAGCAGGCCCAACAGCCCCAAAATCCCAGACCAAATACCCGCTGATGTGTTAAAAAAGCCTACGCATCGCCATGGCGATGGCGAGACAATGGCGTCGCCATGTGTATACCCAGTGCCACGGCCCATTTTATGGCGCAGAAGCCATTTGCGCGCCATTGACAAGCTTGGTTGTAATTAATTTTCACCATAGTAAAGTTCTTATCTTTATCTTATATTCATCTCTATCTTATCTTTTTTTACCTATCTTTTTATCTTTCTTATCTTTTTATCTTGCTTATCTTTCTTATCATTCTGGCTCCGATTTCATGCTTCAATTCATGTTAGCCGACCCCAAACTCTTTTGGGACTAAGGCTTGGATGTTGTTGTTGTGTAGTAAAGTTCTAGTGAGATTCTTTCTTCTACACTTCAAATTAGATTTCATCGGTTTGACACTTTGATGCTAACTTCATTCGATCAACACTGATTTAAATTCAACCATTTGTAGTTAGTCTATGGCTCTATGCTTCTATTTTAATGAATTGCTTCGCCATGGTGATTTCTGAATTGTGAAGAACCTGTAATCCCCCCTTCTATTTCGCTAGTCATGGTTTTTTCCCATTAATTTAATTAAGCTGGTCCTAATTTCAACATTAAAATAAATCTTTAAGCACAAATATGCATTGTAGTATTAGTAATCTTTATATTAGTAACTCCCATTATAAGAAGAAAGACATTTCAATTTTGAGCAGAAATGGCAGCTGTCTACAGCTTCTATATCATCAACAAATCAGGAGGCCTTATTTTCTACAAGGTCAATACATTTACAACTATTTCCTAAATTTTCTAGCCTGGATTTTTAATTTAGAATAAATTGTTCTTGGAAAACCTAATTATTGATGTCAAAACTGCAGGATTATGGTTCAGCTGGAAGGATGGATACCAATGATAGTTTGAGGCTGGCAAGTTTGTGGCATTCAATGCATGCCATCTCTCAGCAACTCTCTCCTATCAATGGTTGCTCTGGCATTGAACTCCTTCAAGCCGACACCTTTGATCTTCACTGCTTCCAATCTCTAACTGGTATTTCCTCTTTCATTCCTTTTTTTTAAGTAACAAATTTAGCAATGTGCTTTCACATTTTATCTATTTCTGTGTTGCACTTATACCCCTCATTATGAAATGGAATCTTTAGAGAACGATGTACAATGTTATATTTATGCTTCATTAGAGGTCCAACAGCTTTCACATTTTTGGGTTTAGCCTTTCAAAGTTAAATTTTATAGGAAAAATTGATAGTAATAATCCCAACTATTGGCGGTCCGCTTATAATAATCCCAATTATCAATTATTTCAGAATAATCCCAACTTTAGGGACCATTATCAATTATAATGGTCCGGCGTGACCGGCTATGAATAAATTCCTATAATTTCTAAAGTGGATGAGAAGAGATATATAGCAAGTAATCCCTATAAATAATCCCAATTTTTATTTTTTACGCTCAATTTCTATTTGAAATTCACTTGTTATCTAATCATGGACCATTATTGGTGGACGGTCCATATAGTTGGGATTATACAAAAATAATCAGTAGTTGGGATTATTGTTAGCGGACCGGCAATAGTTGGGATTATAATATTTTCAAAATTTCCAATTTTATAAAACCATTTTCCCATTGGGTCATGACTCATGACTATCACAAACCATCACTGTCTAATGATATTCACCTCATTTTTCCGGTTCAGAAGGTTTTGACCTGGAGCGCATTTTTGCATGAATTACACAATTAGTAGTGTTAATTAATTAGCCTTTTAATTTCAAGTCATGATTCCCAGTCCCAAAGAACGTTTTGATTAAGGTGATGTTGATGACCAAACATCATAAATTTGGTCAAGATTACTAGGGAGGTTAATTGACACTAATGGAATAAGCTACTCTAGGAGTGTGAGGCATTTGACTTGAGCCAAGAAGGGTGGTTTAGAAGATTTGCATAGGGCTGAAGGAACTTGGCCAAAGGCTATGATGGTGGTGACTCTTTATCCTAATATGCCGAGTATATAAGCCCAAAAAGAGATCGATTTATGAAAGAAAATTAAATACTTTCCTAGTTAAGTGAACCATAAAAAACCTGCTACTTTGCTGAGAGTACCTCGTCTACAAAATACTCTGGAATTTCATGATATCTCAAAAGAGATGCATCTGACATAAGAAATGTTACCAATAATTTGTAGCATAATAGGAAAATTATGCAGAATCATGTGAAAGCGCCAAAATCAATGTCTTAAAAAGACACTTAGCGCTTGGCAGGCTACATACTTTCAAACCAATTGCCTAGTGTCTACTCATGTCTTGGTTGGGTCAGATTCTAATAAAAGACATGGTCAGCCAATTTTGGTTTAGTGACTAACTGACTCGACAAAGATTAGCAGATTTATAGAACACCAAGTGCTTGCCATATGCTCCGTATAAGGAGTTCATTTGGACTTGAATGTTTTGGTGGTCGAAATTGATCTCGTTTGTTTTGTTTAAGTTTGGTCTAGTTTGATATGGTTTGGTCTATTTATGTTTGATATTATGTGTATTTCATTATTACTCAATGTAAATCTGGTGTGAGATTAAAATAAATTGAAGTAAACGGTTGTTCTTCCTTTTTTTAGGGACAAAATTTTTTGTGGTATGTGAGCCTGGAACGCTGCATATGGAACCCCTCTTGAAATGTATATACGAATTGTACACAGATTATGTGTTGAAGAACCCTTTCTATGAAATGGAGATGCCGATTCGGTGTGAGCTCTTCGATATGAACTTGGCACTTGCCGTACAGAAGGACCGTGTCGCATTATTAGGAAGATAGATGGACAACTCTTCCTGAAAAGAACACAACTATAGCGTTTCGAAAATTAGTGTACATCGTGCATGTTTGCATGTTTCTTTTTCTTAATATATTATTAATTTCGAGTCCTCTTACCTGTCCTGTATTCTCAATTTCATTTGCTACTTGGCATTGCAAGTTATATACTGTATGATTTAGGCGTGTTTACAATGAGTTTAGCTGTCCACCATGCAATGTGGGGGGTCCGTGTGAAGGGCTTTTGGTGAATATAATACGAAGTAATATTATTCTATCTATTTTACTCTCAATTCTAATAGCATTTACCTCCCTTCAAATCGTGACTATTACAAATAATATCATTTCTTTAAAAGGATACAGTAATAGCTTTTGTCAAGATTCTTAAATATACTGTCATATTGATATCATTTTGCGTCTGTTAGGAAATCAGAAGATTATTCCAGAAAAGTCCATTTGATCTGATATGCAATTTTATTAGCGTTGGATTATGCGAATAACTAATTTGCAACAGGCCTGGACTCGGGCCTGGGCTGGGCCTAGACCCAGTTGGGCCTTTGGTTCTGGATTGGGAGGCCCGGAACCGGCCCGTCCTTCGCCCGGTGCCGGTTCGGGCCGGGCCACCTGCCAGGTCGGGTTGGGCCTTTGTAATTTTTTTTAACTTACTAATACAACTTAAATATGAAATACATTTTCTAATAAATACTAATATAATTAATTCTAAGTTGTAAGTTGTAAGTTTGTAACCAATTAATTAATTTGAGAAGTGCTACATATATAAAAAAAGGATATATATTTATTTGAAATATGAACTACAAGTTTACAAATTACAATAGAGAATTGAGGGAAAAATTAAAACATGAAATACATTTTATAATAAATTGTGAAATACTAATCAATCGGAATCTCCGGCATAGGAGCCACCCTCGGTTGTTGATTCATCCATAAAGTCTTGGACTCTTGGGAGGGGGGTGATTCTAATTTATTGAGTTCTACGTATGGTAGGGATGGACTCGGGCCGGGCCAACCGGCCCAGACCGGCCCACTACTGTGCGGGCCCGGCCTGGCCCGGTGAACCGGTTAGTGCCCGGTTCGGGCCACCCGGCCCGGTGGGCTTCGGTTCCGGGCTCGGGCCCTCCATTTGGTGAACCGGCCCGGCCGATTCAGGCCCGGTCCGGGCCGAATTTATTTATTTTTTTCTGATTTTTTTTTAAGTTTTTGGGTTGGGCTGGGTATTTTGGGCCATTTGAGGTGGTTTGGGGTGGTTTGGGGGTGAGGGGGGTGGGTTGGGGGTTAAATAGGAGAAGCCAAAAAAAAATTACAAACCGGGTGGCCCGGCCTGGCCCGGCCGGAACCGGAACCGGTGGCTACCGGTTCGGGCTCGGGCCCAACAAAACAGAACCGCGAACCGGCCGGGCCCAGGCCCGAACCGGAACCGGTCCACCCCTAATGTATGGCCTTCAACCAATCGTGGTAGCATATAAGCGTCTCAAGAGACTCTGCGCTAAAACTCGTTCTAGACGCCGTTAGAACGTTGTCGGCCGAACTAAATTCTTGTTCCACGGCAATTGTTGAAACCGGCATTGATAGCACTTGCTTAGCCATCCGTGCCAAAATCGGGAACATTCTTTCTTTTGACTTCCACAACTTTAGAACGTCAAACTCCTCATTTTCGTCAAATTCTACCTCATAATTTATATACAAAGAAATCTCATTAAGTGCGATTTGTTCAGTAGTGTGAGTTGTTTTAGTTTTTTTCATAAGATTGCCAAAAGCAGATTTAAGAAGTGATTTTCCTTTAGATGAAGATGTGTGTGTCGGGGAGGGGGAGGGGGCGCGTTGGCATATTGTGCATGAAACTCATTAAATAAGGCATAAAATAAATTACTAACCTCGTTGTATTCAACTTGCGGATATATGGCGTTATCGTCATACATTGGAAATGGACCAAAAAAAGCATTATAATAGAACTTCAAACATTCTTCCAAATTACCAAGTCTATAACGAGCTGAGGATCGAGAATAAATGCAATACCATAAATATGCGGAATATGTGCAAAACCACAAAAATAACTCACGTAAGCGGCATTCTTAAATTCATTAAAAGCACCGGCGAGATTAACAACTTCACGAATAAATTCGTTTGAGGTAGATTTATAAACATGACTAAAACTATCAGTTGCATTATTAAAATATATCAAAACATTACAATTTTTTTCACAAGTGTCGACGTGAGCGGAGTTTAAAATATAGTTATCATATTGTCTTAAAAAAACAGGAAAATGTTCTTTATATCTAAGAAGAACTTTAATTAATTTATAAGTACTATTCCACCGAATAGACAAATCTTTAGGAAAAGCAACATATTTCACACCTCTTTCAATCAAATAATTTTGCCATTTTAATTTAAGTTGACCATTGATCCAAATACGTCTAATTCCCCCTTGACTACCTCCATAGCATCTCCTAACGCTTTTATACCGTCTTGCACACATAAATTTATAATATGGCATGCACATCGTTGATGAAAAAATCTACCCATCAAAGTATTAGAACCACACAATTCACGCAATCTAGGTATAGCAGCAGTATTATTAGTAGCATTATCAAAACCTATAGCAAACACTTTATCAATCAAATTATACTCAGTTAAAATACGTTCAATCAAAATATAAATATGTTCAGCGGTGTGACGATCATTAAATTCACGAAAAGCAAGAACACGTTTATGCAAATTCCAATCATTATCAATAAAATGTGCAGTCAAACCCAAATAATGTAAATTATGATAAGTATCCTCCCAAATGTCAGAACAAATAGTAACACGGCCATCAAAGTTTGCAAAAAAAATTTGTAATCTATCCTTTTCCACACGATAAAGCCTTATAATTTCTTTTTTTGAATAAAGCCTTATAATTTCTTTCTTAACTGTTTTGCGACTATAAGCTCTAAATTGAGGATCTAAACAAGTTTGTGCCTAATCTTTAAAAGTAAGACTTTCAGAAAACAAATAAGGCAAATTTTCTTCAACAATTAAGTTAGCCATACAAGTCAAATTTTGTGCATCATTGTATGAGAAATTACCAAAAGGTTGGTCATTTGCAAACCTCGATATTTGAGTTTGCTTCCCCTTGCCTTTGTCTATTTTCGCATACTCCACAGAGTGCGCGGACTTAAGATGCCTTTTGAGGCTCCCGTATCCGCCGGAAGTTCCCAAGCTATACTCCTTGCAATGATTGCAACTTGCGTACCATTTATCGGTTGATTTGTCTTTCCTCTTTGTAAAATTATTTTCTATAATAGGAGATTTAGATTTCATACCAATTTGGGATGAACCGCCCTCGTCCTCCAACTCTTGCTCATCATCCGGGGTGCCGTGAGTCCCGTCGCCCCCCTCGTCCTCCTCCGCATCGTCATCCTCGAGCTCCTCTTCATCAATGGACTCCGGGATGTTTTGTTGTTGGAAAAAGCGCCCATCATTTTGCGCCAATAGTTGTTGTAGTTGCTCGTCGGACATCGCATCCCCATCTCGCCTTTGGTATCCCGTTTCAAAATCTTCTCGACTTTGAGAAGAAGACCCGGCCCGCCCTTTGCCTTTGCGTAAACTAGGATGACTTGTCGCAATCTCCTTCCTTCGGTTGCGTTGGAGATTACCATATCTACGGAATGTCTACCACGGTCCATCTTTAAAATGTAACAAATGTTATATTATATCAAATGTTTTAATATGAGTACAATAATAATAATAAAATGCGACTAATAAAATTATAGCAAATTTCCAAGAATCCACTTACTAATAAAATTAACTAGTTTTAAACTTTAATGCAACAATTAACAATTAACTAGTTTTTTACTTTTATGATAAATGAAACAATTAACAAATTAAATAATAGGGAAATGAAAAATGTAACAATTAACTAGTTTTATACTTTAATGAAAAATGTAACAATTAACTACTTTTATACTTTAATGAAAAATGTAAGAATTAACTAGTTTTATGCTTTAATGAAAAATGTAACAATTAACTAGTTTTATACTTTTATGATAAATGCAACAATTAATAAATTAACTAATAGAGAAATGAAAAATGTAACAATACGATGAATTTATTTACTATGAATAGAAAAAACAATGAATTAACTAATAGAAAAAATGAGACAAGTATTAATTAACTAAATTAGGATAATGAGAAATGTAAAAATTAACTAATACGATGAATTTAATTACTATGAATTCAAGTGTAACTAATATATTAAGTAGATAATAAATATTAGTAATATAATATATGTATATAAGTAGATAATTGTATAACTAATATATAATATAATGTTTATAGTGTATAATATACAAGTATATTACTATAAGATGAGTAATACACTTATATATAATACTTTAATATATATAAGTAAGTTACAATAAATATAGATAATAAGTAGATATCAAAGTAAATATAAAAAAGATGGAGATGTATAATTAGATAATAAGTATATATTAAGTAGATAATAAATATTAGTAATATAATATATGTATATAAGTAGATAATTGTATAAATAATATATAATATAATGTTTATAGTATATAATATACAAGTATATTACTATAAGATGAGTAATACACTTATATATAATACTTTAATATATATAAGTAAATTAAAATAAATATAGATAATAAGTAGATATCAAAGTAAATATTAAAAAGATGGAGATGTATAAGTAGATAATAAGTATATATTAAGTAGATAATAAATATTAGTAATATAATATATGTATATAAGTAGATAATTAATATATAAGTAGATATAATAATTATATAAATAATATATATATATATATATATATATATATATATATATATATATATATATATATATATATATATATATATATATATATATATATATATATATATATATATATATATATATATATATATATAGAGAGAGAGAGAGAGAGAGAGAGAGAGAGAGAGATTTGGAGAAGATGAAGATGGAGATGATTGAGTATGAGAGAATAGAAAATTAGAGAGTAGGATTGTATGAAGATGATGTGAAAAATGTATAGAAAATAAGAGTATAAATAGGTTTTTTTTGGTATCCCCCAAAACCCCCCGGACCCCCCCCCCTCCTCTCCCGCCAACGGCTATAGAGCCGTTTGGGATTATTCCCAACGGCTAGGGAGCCTGTTTTTTTTTTTAAATAGCCGTTGAGGCCCGGACCGGGCCCGGCCGGGCCGGTTCATCATTTGGAGGGCCCGAGCCCGGACCGCCTAGCTATTGGGTTGGGTCGGCCCGAACCGGTCCCCTGACCGGTTCCCGGGCCGGGCCGGGTACAAACAATACCGGTCCGGGCCGGTTCCGGGGCGGGCCGCCCGGCCCGAGACCACCCCTAATTTGCAATATATATAGGCCGGTTATTAAGCTAAGAGAATCTCAAAATTGTGGTCAAGCCTAACCTATTTAAATAAATGAGCTTTTAGAAAACCCAAAATATGGTTTACTTGCTAACTACTAAAGCAGTAAACCAATATTTGGTAATTTTATCCTTGAGGAACGACTTTGAGTTATAATTTCTATTTAAGTATGCATTTCGTAATTATCAATGAATTCATTCAATATCAAATGTTTCATTTTCTACTTTTCTATACAAGAGCTACTTTTTTTTTTTTTGAATTTTTTAAAAAAATAGCTACTTTTAATACTGTATAATAGCCTAACAGGAGAACTGGAGAAGGCCTGAAAATCGTGAGTTTGGAAGCTTCAGCGGTCCAGTCTTACACTCTGCTCTGGATCAAGGAGTATGTGTGTAATAGAGCGGAATCAACCTTTGATATCACCTAAAAACATATCTTCTTCTACTCAAGGTCAAATGATAATGATATTTGCAGCTGGTATTTGTAACGATAATTATGAATTGCAAATAATTATTTACATTACTTAACTATTTGTTTACTTTCCCATCATTTGCAAGGGAGCCAAAGATTCATTATTTTTTGGCTTGAGAATATGATGGGATAAAGCAAAACGGCTCACTAAACTGTCTGCGCTTCTTTCTTATGAAGCATCGGTCAATCCATACAATTTTGGACGCGATTTTCATCCGTAAACAGTCTCTCTGTGCTTTAGTACAAGGGTAAGACTACGTACATCCGATCCCCTTACCCCACCGTAGGTGGGAGCCTTTGCGGCACTGAGGCAAATGAAAATGATGATGACTTAACTACGTAGTATATGTTTACATAAAAACATAATGGTGTCATAATTATTACATAGTGATGAAATGAAAGATTTCATTTCATTACATTTTTGTTTCCATCGCACGTTCAATAGAAAGTGTAGTGGATTAACGTCTATTGATACAAAAATATAGCCCTAATGATTTATACTGCTTGTTAGCATTATGGGCCTTATGGCTATTAGAAGATGAATCAAATAACAGCAGAGCTTGTGATTTACTTATTAGGTTGAAATTGATTTTATCACATTCATTAGTTCAATACAATAACCTACCAAGGCGCCTGTGCATTATACACGCATACATAGAACAACTCACAACATTTTTTCCATTACATCTACTACAATGAAACAGAGCCTAAAAGATTACGTAAACTGTAAAGTACCTTTCTTTACGTGATCGGTCAGGCTAAGCCGCTAAGCTGAGTCCTATGGATATACAATACAAATGAACTTTACGATTGACAAAATATAGACATTGGTGGAGGTGGAAGAGGAGGAGTTAATGAGAATTGGAGATCCAACATTGGATAGCAAGCCGGAGTGAGGGGTTAGGAGTAAGGTCCAAGTGACTAAGTGTCAAATTGGTCATCGGGGAAGTACCTCTCCCACTTCCCAGCCACCCCCTTATGGCCTCTCCTTCATAGGTGAACCCGTCTGCTGCCACTTGAGGATCATACATTAGCTCCTGAAGCAGCAAAAAATCCATAATTATGTTGTGAACACCATTTTTGAATTGCAAACACACACAAAACACGTAATACAGTTCTTAAATTGAGTCCCATTCATCCCAAAAGAATCTAAAACAGGTGATATTTACTTTGCATTTGTATTACCAAACCCGAACACAACAAACAACCAATGTGGGATACTGAACATATTCCTCAGCCCAAGTGCCCCCCAACCAACCATCGAGCGGCTTAGCCTGACCGTTCATATCATATTGGCGAATAAATCACAACGCACTGTCAGACCAGCTTAAGATACCATATCATATTGGATTTGAGTCACGCTAAAATGATTATTAGATTGGGTAGGCTAACTTGTCAAATTGGGCCTTACCCACCCAAAAGAATTCTCAAGATACAATATGCTTACCTCATACTTATTTATCAGACAGAAATACGGTAAACTTCTGATGAGAGAAACTTAACATGTACACTCGACCCAAACTAGGTTGGAAGAATGGGTGAATAAATGTCTCAAACCGACCCTAAATGGCTACTCTAATTTGTAGGGTGCTAAACAAATAAACAAACAACAAATAGACTAGGCTATAACACTATGCTAAACTGGCCCTAACTGACTCCAAGTCTCCAATCCTCGTACTTATATATGAGGTGCACTAATTTTGGATCTGGGACACTGTGTCAAACCGATCCTAAATGTCTACCCTAATTTGTAGAGTGCTAATAAATAAACAAATAAACAAACAAACAATAAATGGATTAGGCTCTGACACTATACTAAATTGGCCGTAACTGACTCCTAGTCTCCAATCCTCATACTTATATACTCCGTATGAGACAAACAAATTTCGGATGTGGGACACTTCATGTAACTTTATCCCAAAAGAATTATCAAATACTTCACACTTACATGCTGGAACCAAACGCAACCAATGTGAGACAATCAAAAGCTATTAGTTTGGTAATTTTACTGACCCGGGTTAAATGCCTGAAACAAACAAATGTTACCTGAGAAATAGGACAAAGGAAAAAAGATGGCACTACACGCTCCTCCAAGGTGTGCAACTGCTCTAACTCCCTTACTAGACTTGGCGTCAACTCGGGTCTATCCCTACTGTTTAGCTCACAACAACTCAACCCTAAGCCGGCCAACCTCCTTGCCACAAAAGCTGACCAATCACCAGCAGATGAATCCAAAATGGATTCCAGATTCCTGCATGAGACAGCCTTACGTACCTCACGGGATAGTCCCTCCGGACTTCTTCCCGTGAGCATCTGAAGTATGATCAGTCCAAACGAATAGATGTCTGACTTCGTTGTCAGAGACCCACTGACGTGAAATTCTGGATCAGTGTATGAAAAAGCGCCCTTTGACACACTTTGACGCCGGAAACTTGGACAATGAAGCGTTTGGTTCGGAAAAAGCTTAGAAATCCCAAAATCACATATTTTGCAGCTGTTGTAAGAGTCTAGGAGGATATTTTCAGGCTTTAGATTGCCATGCACAATCTTTTCAGGGTTGGAAGTGTGTAAAAACAAAAGCCCTTTAGCAATTTGAGCAACAATTTGCAATCTGTTTTTCCATGTAATGCTGCTCTTGTGGAGAAGGTGGTCCCGGAGGTTTCCTCCTGGCATATACTCGTAAACAAGGTACCAATCTTCAGTACATAACCCAAGTAAAGTTACCAGATGAGGATGATAAAGTTTTCCTAGAATTTGAACCTGCATTTTTAGGAAGGAAAAGTTATACCTTAGATGAAATGTAACGAAAATATGACATTTAAAAACACATATATATGGTAATTCAGTCCAAAATAAATCAATTCCATGTTATATGTTGTCTGCGAAATACCGAATTAATTAGGGACATTTGTAATTTAAAGAAAACTTGAGGGTCATTTGATAAAAAAAGATTCCTATTTGTAGTACCGAGTTGAGTGTTACAAGCAAGTTTCTTTCTTTGGGACAACGGAAGTAGTTGAGTTAGAATTTAGAACACAACAACATATAGATGAAAGGCACACTCATCCACCCACCTCAGGGGCGGAGGTAGAGGGGGGCCAACCTAGGCCTACCCCAAATTTAAAAGTGGCTTATTTTTTAGTGTAAAAAATTCTGTGTGATTTCCCCCCCAAAAATATTCATTGTATCGACCCAGTGCCCTGGTTCCGCCCCGAACCCACCCACACACACAAAACATATATATAGGATCCTTTTCAAACAAAAATGGCTAATGTGCGAACGTTTAAATTGCAATTCTATTTCACCATGCTGCACTTTATGTTCAGATATTGCACTTTTCAACTTCTTATATAGAAAATTACAACCGCATTTTATTTAGTAATTGATATTTGCCACGGTGTAAAGGGCAGTGGTTCACCATACAAATGCAACGTAACGAAGTAGGAGTGCAATCCGCACATTAAGCACTTTTTTTTATTTGAACCGAAACCTATACACACATATTGACGTATGTATACATAATGTAGGTCATTTACCTGTTGAAGAAAGTCTGATTGGCTTTGCATATAGTGTGGATTAAGCTTCTTTATAGCAACTGTTCTATCCAATAATTCCCCTTTATAAACAGCTCCATATCCACCCACTCCAATCTTGAAGCTCTCTGAAAAATGGCAAGTTGCTATTTGCAAATCTGATATAGAAAATTGTACCAACTCTCTTGAACTTACTCCCCAAACCTTTCCACAGCTCCTCCCCCTTGCCTCATCTTTCTGTTTCTGAACTTTCTGCTTCTCCTTCTGGAGAGTTTCTATGGAAGTTTGGATGAGTCTAATCTCTCCTGCAATATCTTTGTACATACAGTTAGTTTCCAGTCCATGAGTGTCTAAGATAGCTATACTTCTCATGGTCATATTTAGCTTGTGCGTCATCTCTTCCTTCTCTTTCAAATCCTTATCTTGTTCCTCTATCATAGTTCTATGAGACAGCTCGGCTTCTTTCCTGAGAGCAATTTCACGCACATGAGCACATTCCCATGTTTTGGTCTGAGATATAAGCATTTGTATCATCATATTAGTTTTTTAAATTAAAGCAAAGAAATTAACCATTCTAAAACATTAAGGAAAATACTAGATAAAGAAAATAGGAAGGAAAACATAGAGAAACATTAGAAGGAAAGATAGACTAAATTAACCATTCTAAAACATTAATGTATCTACTACAGAGTATATAGAGACTAAAGAAACTAAATACTACGTATATGTGAAAAGAAAGTAAGCAACTCATCATATTTCAATTTCCATAACATTTTCCAAGGTAAAACCTAGCATAAGAAAACAATTCTTTTTCAAGTCTTTTCCCTGTCTGTAGTATTGTACTTCATCCAAACATATGCTAGATGAATGCTATTACACCAAGACAACGAAGAATCATCTTGATATGAATGTCATTGTATTTCTAGGGACTACAAAAGAGCATGTATAGAATTGTGTATCTAAAGATAGCCATAAACATGCCTGAGCAAGTTCACAATTTTGTTCCAACTATACAGTAATCAGTATTATTAGACGGAAACAATGATGCCAGATAACAGACCACATAAAATGAAATACAGTCACCAGTCGACATTCAAGACACTACCTCAGCAGTGAGCTTCCATAATAAAAGATATATATAGAACTTTTATCCATTATGTATTTTTATCAAAGAGTAACATAAGGCTGCATCAAACTCACCTATCTCAGCAGTGACCTTCCATAATAAAAGAAATATATAGAAGTATAGAACTTTTATCTCTTATGCATTTCTATCAAAAGAAACAGAAGGTTGCATCAAACTCACCTTTGCTATATCTAACTACCTCTGTCCAAAAAAACAACTATTTGATGACAACAAATGTATCAAACTATGACCTTTCAATGAAAAAAAGCATTTCCTTAGGATGCTTGATTATTAATGAGCAAATTATTTAACACTGGCACTTTAAGATTATTATCACATTCTAAATACACACTATTCCTTTCAAAACTATAGTTCTTTTACCTTCATGGTTTCTGCAGCTTCAGCTTCAGCTTCCAATCTATTACACTTAAAAATATCTGCAATCACTTCATTTCTTGATGACTCAGATTCTAAGTCAGTTTCTCTAAGCTGTCCAGATAGGCTTTCCTCTTCAAATGCTGAATTCGAATCTGGCAGTGGGAGACAAACAGGACTTTGAGCTACTACAGAGTTTGAATTGAACCCCGTAGCCTGTCTGGTAAAAACTAGTTTTCCTTTGTTGACAAATATTATCTCACAGAATGATGGAGCATTCTGCTCAACATAACTTGCTTTCCTAGAGCTCCGTTTTTCCTTCCTGCAACTATTTATAAAAGTTCAAAACGGTAAATATAGGAATAATCTGGCTTTATATGAATTTGCAATTTATGTAGCAACAGACAAGTTTTAAAGATATTTACGCGTGCCACTGACATCAGTTTCTCAATTTGCAAGATATTTCATCTTCAGCATCATGACTCTACTGGGAACTAAATTTGGTTGATTGAGAAAGTTGAGATAAAAATAATTAGGGAAAATTCCCGAAATAGGACTAAAACAGTTTGATAATTCCAAAATAGGACTGTCATGTTTTTTTATTCCCAAAATAGGAGTAATTACTGTCAAGTTTGGAAAATGCTGTCATGTTTGAAGTCTGGTACTGCCAAAACATGATACTTCCTCCGTTCTTAAATAAATGCAACAGTCAACATTTCACATTTGCCGAGGCACAACTTTGACCATTAATATATATAATTCCCGATTAGTAAAAAAAGTTTAAAAAATAGATTTTGAAAATTTATAATGAGAAAAATTTAACAATATTTTTTTCAAAAATATATATTATTACATTAATAAATAAAACGTAGTCAAAGTGGAACATGTGAATAGTGCAAAAAGTCCAATGTTGCATTTAAAAGAGAACGGAGGTAGTAGTAATTAGTCCTATTTTGGGAATAAAAACATGACAGTCCTATTTTGGAATTTTCAAACATTTTTAGTCCTATTTCGGGTAATATCTCAAATAATTATGATGATATTGACTCCATCACTTTTTATCTCATATTTTGTTTTAACACAGTTTTTAACTAAGTAAAAATTCTGTTGTTAAAACTTGTTTATTAGAGGTGAAATGATAAACCACAACATCCTTTCCTTGATAGAAAAAACAAGATAGTTTCGGGACAGAAGATAAAGGAAAGAGTGGAGATAAAAACGGACAAAGGTAGTAGTACTGTAGTATTAATAATAATAATAAGAATAAGAACAACAACAGCATCATCATCAATAGCAGCAGGAAAATTAACAAAAGCAGAAGCAAGTGATATTAAAGGGCACACTCACTCTGGAATAGCTCCGATTACTAGCTTCCTAATTTTATGTTCATTTACCATATCAACTATTCCTTTTTTAATTTGATCAGCTTCAAGAGTAATAATGCTTGCCTTGACCTGCAAAATTCATGGAAAACCCATATGTGAAGCAGCACCATACACTGAAAACTTGGTAGAAACTTCAGTTTGGATGGAGGACTTTAGAAGGGAATGCGTAGTCTATATCTTGATATATAGAATGCTTCTTCAAACAAATAAGGGTGATTGAAATGCTATATGATCACCTAATATCTAATTCCATCAACTTTAAAATCTTAAATGTACACCAAGATATAGACTTTGCCCTTCAAAGTTCCATCCCAACTGACCCTTAGATGAAAGCCAGATAGACTACACCTGCCAGGCTACCACTTCTTAAAAAGCAACTTTTGATCTAAAGGGAGAATTGCACTTTCCAACTCATCTAGACTAGGACTTGCCACATAGTACTTGAATGACGTCTTAATAATGAAAAAAGTAGGAGCATTTTGGTAGTAACAATTTGGTTGAACAAAAAAGTGGCATGACCAAAATATTTGTATGCATGTAATTTTCTCGTGGTACCAAAAAAGTATGTGTGTGTGGTTGTGTGCATAGGAACAAATATGTTGCTCTAAGCTACATACACTATTTTAATCTAAACTTTTCCCTTCGCAACTTTTCCCTTTTATGGAAAGTGTTATGTATCAAAATACCTAAACACCCTTACCTTTTACCTTTAATTACCTTCTCTCACTTGCTTTATAACTTTAACATCTCTTTCCTACTATCACTTTACACTACCCTACTAATTTTCCCTTAAATCTTGTGCCAAAACCTAATGTTGCAAACAAAAAAATACAGAGGTAGTAAGTAAATAAATCAATAAATAAATAAAAATAAATGAATAAAAATAGATAAATAAATAAATAAATAAATAAATAAATAAGTGGTCGCAGTTTGTTTTTAAAAACAGATATTTCTGCTACCTCCCAGAGATGAACGAGTGCACCGATTGATAATTTGCTACACAAATTTGGCAGAATTAACGACAAAAACTGCAAACTCAATCATAAATGACCAACTTTACTACTCAATTAGTTATTTTTTAGGGTCAAAGCAGCATGATTCTCCTTAAATATAGAATATTAAATCCAAGTATCAATGAATAGTGAGTTTAGTGAAATACCTAATAGGGGACAATCAGCAATTCAGAAAACGTTCACTGGTACGAGAACATATACCCACAAGCTAAGCTTTGGAGAAGAATGTAAGAACATCATACCCATTGTAGATGGTTAACAGTAAATGCATTCATAATCAAATTATCAAGTGAATCTAAAGAACGTAAGAACACTTTAGTCTGATACTCTGATTACATGCTTATAATTCATAAACACTGTGAATAATTATGAGCAATCTAAACATTTTATATCAAGAATTCTCCTTTATCCTGTCTTCCCAATCAATTATTCAAACTGTTGCTATCAGTCATCTACTCTTACGGAAAGTGGATCTAAAATATGTAATCCCAGAGTCATTAGTAATGTGGCTTCAATGGTCACCACTCCCGTGACTTAGTGAGGGTCAAGGATCATTTACGCGACTTCTATAATTACACAAGGATTATATACGCCAACTCCCATAACTGGGGGGGGGGGGGTGAGTACACACTTGCCTATATCTTAAGAATCATTAATTTCATTTCCTCTGGACATAAGAAGTTGCCGAAAAGGAATTACAGACAAACTTGTAGCATGGTAAAGATCAAACAAAGACATTAAAGAGGGTGCATACTGCTTACCTTCAATCTGCAACATATACTTAAGTAACCATTAACAAGTTTCCTCATCACTTCCCTCTCTTCATTCCTGAAAGCAGACACCACTTCTGGATTAGCTTGGCATGCTGGTAGTCTTCCCACTGGGCGTTAATTTGAGCAACAACAAAATGTAAGCCAAATTTCAAACACTCCTTTAAATTGTATAAGCTCTTACCAACAGAAAAGCAGTGAGCTGAAAGGAAGTCAATGATTGATGCAGGTATAACCGTTTAACCATTTAGCATAAAAATATTTTTTTTAAAAATGCAACCTTTCCAGAAGTGCGGAACATTTAGAGAATTTCTTCCAGGCCATAGGACCTATATGGCTATATTCTATACTACCCCATAATAAGCAAATCAAAACATTTTCTAGAGTAACTTCTCAATAAGGAAATTAAAGTCATCATAGCAAAAACTCCAACGAATATCATCATTACACCATTGGCAAAGGCTCCTACCGGGGTAGGGGGTCAGATGGATGCAGTTCAAAGAGACGGTTTAGGGATGGCTCATAGTGAAAATTGCATAAAAAATTGCAGGACTGGCTGACAAAACTTACTACATAATAAACTTACATAGAGTGGGAATCAAAGGAGAAGGTTGATGAACATGAAGGATGCAAATTTCAGAGTTCCCGAAATTCCTGCAAACCCACTGAATCAGAGATACAGCCTTGTCCGTTTTCTTCTTCCCCACAGCCACGTGCACTTTACAGCCGGCTTCCTCAGCAATTTCCGGCAACTGTGGGAAGGCCGGCACCTCATTGTGGTAGGATCCGCGCCTGAAATTCGACGGCCCAGAGCATAAATATGCATTAGCAGTAGGTTTTGGGAGCGAAGGAGGTGACGAGTTCAGAAGCTCCATCCTGACTTCGCCGGAAACAACCGTTCAGGCGATTTTACCGTTTCGTAGTCCGTATGTTTTTTTTTTTTGGGTTGACGGAGTGGTATACTTGAGCCTGTTTGACTTTTATCTGTCAATAAATAGGGACGGAGTATAAAGTACTGTAGAGCCTTTCAAAATTACGCGCTTAATATACTCGGACTCGGTATTACCACTATTACCTATAGGTAGAAACTGATAAATGAACGAAATTCTGGCAATGTGGCAGTTATTTTGAGGTTAACCGTATAGTCTGTATATAACTGTTTAAGCCCTACTTTTCAGCTTTTTTAATTAAAAAAATACAAGTAATAATAAGAGTAATGTTTTTAAGTTGGTCTTCGGTTAAAAGTGAAAATTTTAAAGATAAAAATCGAAAGCATGGGATGTGCTACATGCATGTGTATAAAATTATTTATCACTTTCTCATTTTTCTTTTCAATGCCATCAACTTTTGGAATGAATCAATTTACATATGATCTCTAAAATAAATCATACCTCAAACGTTAGAGTGAATACTATCGTACAAAACACTCTCTAAGTCTCAAGTTATGTGATATGTGTTTCTAGAAAAGGTGTAAGACAACATGTTTGCACTTTTACATGTACTTCACATATGTGTGAATTTTGTGTTCCTTACATTTGATTATTATAAAAAACACTGATCGTAAAAAGGGAAGTTTTTCCATAGATACTATTGCAATAAATTAAAGATGTTGGAAAATGTGACTGAAGTTACTATGAATGTTTCTTCACCTGTTGTGTAAAATTGAACATAATCATGTACACTAAAATTATTATTATATTCACCAAAAATATAAAAGTTACATTTTCTCCACTACATTTATTATTTCAGTAATATATTTGATTATTTGTAATTATTTCCTCAACCATATACTTTTGCTTATATTTATAAACGGGTCAAGTCAAATCGAGAATAAATGTTGGGTCAATGATCGAGAATACTAAATTGTATAATGTATTCATTTATTCATTAAAGAACATGTTGAATTGTAGTAAGTTTCAAATGCAGAAAGGGTTACTAGCTCAACTGGTAGCGAGGGAGTGCCACAAAGGTTAGGTCTCGGGTTCGAATCCCGGCAACTGCGATGAGGGGATACTATGCTGAAAAATGCATAGGGCTTCTGCAAGTACCAGGGACAGGGCCCCATTCTCCAGTGGCGCATCCAGGATTTTTCACCAGTGGGGGTGTATTTACATTAGCTATCTCACACATGTCATAAACAATGACCACATTAATAAAAAAATAGTGTAAAATCAATTTAAAATAACAAAATATTCGTGAGTCAAAAATATTATGATGGCATACTAAAAAATTGCACGCCAGATAAATTTTTACTTGGATAAAAAAAATTAATCACATACTCCGTAGTTTGTAGTGTATTCAAAATTATGTTAGTAATAAGAATCAAATAAGAAATGAATCCAATATTCACTTAGAATTAACTTAAGTTGTGAATGCACAAGTATATTTAAAAAATCAATTTGTATTAAATGTTAAAATGTAATTGTTAAATTTCACAAATTATATGCGAAAAATTAAACTGTAATTATTGAAGTAGTTCAATTGTCCAAACTCTAAAGTAGCTTTAAATAGTTTAGAGCTAAAAAATGAAAAAGCAAAAGAAAATGAGAAAAGGCTAAGGGTGATAACTGATAATCCAATGGGTAGCATAGAAATGCACAAGTATAGCATAAAAAGGCGTAAGCAAAACATTGAAACAACATGGAAAAAAAGGCTAGAGGATAGAATCGAACCCTACACCATGTCACGGGCATAGAGTCTGGCGCAGCCCACAGCGCCCGTGCGGCGTCCCGGGGTCCCTCACCCCGCGGACAAGCCTCGCTCTCATACGGAATCGGACTGGTTTCGCCCTGCCTTGGGCTCATCAGGGGAACGGCAATAGCTCCCGACCAGTTGTGCCTTCATGTCCGCCTCCGTCTCCTTCATAGTCAAGCCCTACATGCCCGACTCGGCCAGACCTTAGCGTCTAAGGCAGAACTCCCCTTGACGCTATTGCCTCCCCCATGCCTCGCCCGTCCAGCTAGCCAGTCGGTCCGTCCCATTCATTGAGCCTAACACGGTCACGAACAACAGTCCGTGACAACCAGCTAGGAAACTCCTAAAACACGCACCAGTCCTAACTCCACATGGCTACCGCTGCTAGTTGTTCCAGGTCTCGTTTATACTTAATAAGTTACTAATATTTAACACCTATCTACATAAATAATTTAATTTCTGATATATATAGGGGTTGGGTGGGGGTTGAGTGGGGGCAGCTGCCCCCCTGCCCCCATGCTGCATCCGCCCCTGCCACTCTCTATCTGTCAGATTGTGATTATAGTCCAATTTACATCCTCCCATTGTGCTGTCCGGTCGGTGTTGGGGGGCCCTCAGGGATGGGATGTCATCTTTTTTTAAGTTTCAAATGAAGAAAATCGGGTTGTATGACTCATTGGTTGATTGGTTTAAGGTTTTTAATTTGAGAAAGATCTAGTTTGGGTAAGCAACTAATTAGGCTGAAGACTATGTTCGGAAGAGACATTGGTGAAAACGCATAGAGCCATTGGTGGTCAATGGAATGCGGTGAGAGACATTCAACTTGAATGACTTATCACCTATGAAGTAGAGGAACTTTCGAGAATGAATACGTTTCCGTATCGAAAACTCTTTATATACTCTCCAAATTAAACATTATTTTTCTAATAAAAATGGCGCTCTTGTATCCAGTTTCATCATGTTTTCCATGTTTCTGTGCAAATCAAATATAGGCAACTGGTAATTTGGCATATGCGAGTGGTTTTTAGATGTCCATTCGTAACTCTCTCATTCTCTCCTCGCTGTCAACAACTCCTATCGATTTTGCGATGGAATTTGAGACTCCTAATAACCCATACTCTAGGTGATTCTCGTACTTTCTTGTCTTCCACCCGCTTCTCCATTAATACACATTCATTTTTTAAATCATAAATACACATTCATAAGATCACTCTATATCAAATGGTTAGGTTATTGGCCTTATCAAGCTTTAAACATGACGATTCTGCCAAGTTTTTCCAAACTTGTCAGAAATTACTCCTATTTGGTGAATAAAAACATGAATGTCCTACTTTGGAATTTCAAAACGTTTTTACTCCTATTGGGGGCAATTTCTATATGATGAAGTGTAATGTTGATGCCACTCTCTTTGCAAATGAGAAGCGAGTTGGCTTCGGGGCATGTGTTCGGGATTATCGTGGGCAGTTTTGTATGGCTAAAACAAATATATGTACATCAGCTTTGTGTCCAACAGAATCAGAAGCATGAGGCCTTAGAGAAGCTATTAAATGGATGGCTAGTATTCGATACAAGCATGTTCTGTTAGAATTAGATTGTAAACAACTTGTAGAAGATGTGTGCCTTAACCGCCCTAATCGGACAGAATATGGGTCATTGGTGGAAGATTACAAAATATTTTTAGCTTCAAACAACTTTAGAGTTATTTTTACTAAACGACAAGTGAATAGTAGCGCTCACATCTTGGGTAAGGCAGCTACTAATAGGGGTGTACTCGGGTCGGGCCGCCCGGCCCGGAACCGGACCGGTACTATTTGGGCCCGGCCCAGTACCCGGTCTTGGTGACGGTTCGGGCTAACCGGAACCGGTCTAATCCCAGTGCGGGCTCGGGCCCCCTAAAATGCGAACCGGTTCGGGCCATTTTTTTTTTCAGTTTTTTTTTTTTTTTTACTTTCTACCGGGTTGGGCTGGGTGTTTGGGGGGGGGGGGGGGTTGGGGGGTGAAGAGGGGGGTCGGGGGTAATTTAGAAAATCAAAAGAAATTAAAAAAAAAACATTGAACCGGAAACCGGCCCGGACCGGCCCGGAACTGCCAGCCACCCGGGCTAGTTCTGGTTCCCTACTTCACAAACAAAAGCCCGGCCAGGCCTGGGCCCGAACCAGCCCGGGTTCACCCCTAGCTACTAATCACGCTCCTAGCAAAATTTTCACTTTTGTTCCACGGTGTATCCTACACATGGTTAATCATGAAAAGAATTGAGTTTTTCTTTGTCAAAAAAAAAATTGTACAGTTTATGTTCATTAAATGTGAGGTGATTTATTTTTAGTAATTGGTATCTGTCCAGGTCATATATCAAATTCCAGTGCAACTTCAATTAACATGTCCAACCCACTCTACTAATAATGGTGAAGGTGATGATAAAAATATAACCTTATTTTTAAGGTAATTTACACACTTGGACAGTTGTGTACAATTGGACTGGTATCTACTCAGCTCTTTCATACAAGGAGCTTATGTTCATTGTTCAGAATTTGGGAATAACAAGAATGGGAAGAGCAGGATTCAATTTGATTCAAATGATGATTCAAATGATGGTGGATAGAATATGGCATAGAGCATTCAACTTGAACAGCTTGCCTAGAGATTTGAAGCAGGTCAAAGTGTAAGGAAACAACAACTTTCCAGCCTTATTACTCCCAAAAGATTTTGGAGTCAGCTAACATGAATCGATTCATGATATTAGAGTCAAAAAGAAAAGAAAGATAAGAAAAATAAAGTTACTAAAAATATTTGTACTCCGTATTAAATAGCAGGCACACTCAGACCACAAATAAAAACCTAAACCTTCAATAATGTTAATATTTAGCCATTTCACAAACCAAATCTATTTGTACATGGTTAAATCGTTACTGCAACTTTGTGAGTCAAAAATCATTACAAGATTGCCCCCCCCCCCCCCCCCCCCCCCCGGCTTCTATAGCATCCACAGATGAGAGTTACTTTCAAATTTCCACCACAAACTCTCTCAAGCATAAGATGAATTGACAGTTAACAATTTCCTTCAACAATCAATTGTGAATGTTGCTCTGTTTTCCATTTTCATTTGTGTTGCTACTTGCATAAATTTGAATATATCTTTCATAATCTGCATAAAAACCTGCTGTTAAGAAAACAAAGCAACTTCAAGAAAGAATGTGTTAAGCTTACAAGCTATCCACCAACTTTATGATACATACAAGGGAATGCACTCTAAAAAATAGCAAGCTGACACAAACAG